TGTTTAGTAGCATGTTGTTTAGCTTCCATGTGTTTGTTTTTAAGAATTTTTTCTTGTGATTAATTTCTAGTTTCATACTGTTGTGGTTGGAAAAGATGTGTGTATAATTTTTATGCTCTTAAATTTATTGAGACTTATTTTGTGATCTATCCTGGAGGATATTCCATGTGCACTTGAAAAGAATCTGTACTCTGTTTTTGGATGAAATGTTCTGTATGTATCTGTTAAGTTTATCTAGTCTAATGTGTCATTCAAAGACACTGTTTCCTTATTGATTTTCTACATGGATGATCCATCCATTGATGTAAGTGGGGTATTAAAGTCCCTACTACTATTGTATTACCCTCCATTTCTCCCTTTATGTCTGTTAATATTTGTTTTATGTATTTTGGTACTCCTATGTTGGATGCATGAATATTTACAATTATTCTCTCCTCTTGTTGGATTAATCCTTTTATCACTATGCATCGCCCCTTTTGTCACTTGTTATGTACTTTAACACTTTGTTAAAGTCTATTTTGTTTGGGATGCCTGGGTGGCTCAGTTGGTTAAGCGTCTGCCTTTGGCTCAGGTCACGATCCCTGCTTGTGCTCTGTCTCTCTCTGACAAATAAATAAATAAAATCTTAAAAAAAAAGTCTATTTTGTTTGATATAAGTATTGCTATCCCAGCTTTTTTTTTTTTTTTGCTTCCATTTGCATAGAATATCTTTTTTCAAGCTTTCACTTTCAGTCTGTATGGGTCCTTAGGCCTGAAGTGAGCCTTTTGTAGGGAACACATAAGATGGGTGTTGTTTTTTTTAATCCATTGAATCACCCTGTGTTCTCAATTGGAACATTTAGACCCTTTATTTTTAAAGTAATTATTGATAGTTATGTACACATTGCCATTTTGTTTATTGTTTTCTGGTTGTTGTTGTAGTTCTTCTCTGTTCCTTTCTTCTTCTCTTGGTCTCTTCCCTTATGATTGTTGACTTTCTTTAGTGTTATGCTTGGCTTTCTGTTTATTTTTTGTGTACCTCTTATAGGTGTTTGGTTTGTGGTCACCATGAGGTTCATATATAACATCCTAAGTATAGAGCAGTCTATATTAAGTTGATGGTCACTTAAGTTTAAACATATTCTGAAAGATTTTTTGCTCCCCTCCCCCATGTTTAATTTATATGTTGTCATATTTTATATCCTGTTATTCAAATTTTCTTACTTCTAAGTATGGTCTTTTCTTTTCCACTTCAAGAAGTCCCTTTAACTTTTCTTGTAATGCCAGCTTAGTGATGAACTCCTTTAACTTTTGTTTGCCTGGGAACTCTTTATCTCTTTTTTAATTCTTAATGATAATCTTGCCAGGTAGAGTATTCTTGGTTGTAGGTTTTTTCCTTTCAGCACTTTGAATATATCATGCCACTCCTTCTGGCCTGCAAAGTTTCTGCTGAAAAATCAGCTGATAGCCTTATGGGGTTTCCCTTGTATGGTACTTATTGCTTCTCTCTTGCTGCTTTTAAAATTTTCTCTTTAGCTTTCTTTAATCTTTGACATTTTAATTGTGATGTGTCTTGGTGTAGAACTTCTTGGGTTCATCTTCTTTGGGGTCTCTGTGCCTCCTGAGTCACAGATCTGTTTCCTTCCCTGAGATAGAGACTTGTTCAGCTCTTATTTCTTCAAATAAGTGTTCTGCTCCTTTCCCTCTTCTCCTTCTGGGACTCCTATAATGTGAATGTTTGTTTGCTTGATGTTGTTGAAGAGATCCCTTACCTATCCTCACTTTTTAAAATTCCTTTTTCTTCTTGCTGTTCAGCTTGGGTGCTTTCCATTACCCTATCTTCCAGATTACTGATCCATTCTTCTGTATCCATTAATCTACTGATTCCCCCTAATATATTTTTCATTTTATTTATTATATTCTTCAACTCTGATTAGTTGTCTTTTATATTTTCTATCTTTTTGTTGAAGTTCTGAGTTCTTCCACCCTTCTCTCCAGTCTGTGAACATCTTTATGATCATTACTCTAAACTCTTTATCAGGCATATTGCTTAGTTCTTTTTCTCAGGTTTTGTCTTGTTCTTTCATTTGGAGCATACTCCTCTGTCTCCCCGACTTTCTGTGTTGTTTCTATGAATTAGGCAGAAGAGCTATTTCTCCCAAACTTGAAGGAATCATCTTGTGTATGGTTTTTCCCTGTGTAGACTCTGTATCTGGTGACTTTGACTGGTTGGAACTGTAGCTGATATCAGTGGGGGCCCTAGGGCGCTCCATTCTGGAACTGCCCTAGAAGGATGCCTGGAGCTGAAGTGGACATGAGTTGAGGTGGTCTTAGGACTATCTGTACAGAGAGTGCCCTAGCAGGACAGCTGAAGTGGGTGCAGGCTAGTGGGTCCTGAGTTTCTCTACACAGCACCCTGGCAGAATAGCTGAAACTGAAGTGTAGGCATGGGCTGGGGCAGTCCCTGGGCGTTCTGCACAGAGGTGCCCTGGCAGGGCAAATGGAGCAGAGATGGGTATGGGCCAGGTGTTCTGAGGGTACTCTGCACAAGGGGCACCCTGGTGGGTTGGCTGGAGCTGAAGTGATGTAGGCCTTGAGTGTTCCAGCATGCTTTGCACTGTGTCACCTTGGCAAGGCAGTGGAGCTGTAATGAGTGCTGACCAGGGATGTCCTGTTGGGCACTATTGTGGGGCTACCTTAGGGCTGGTGTGGGTTAGGGCTCTGGGGCTCACTGACTGACAGAGAAGGCTAGCTCGGGCACCCAGACCTTGCTCTCATTCATATGGTCAAGGTGGAGGGGGAATGTAAACTGTGGTCCTCACCAGCCCCTTTGACCTGGAGAGAGTTCCAGTAGCTCCCAGCCCTTTGGCAGTGTGGTAGGGCTGGTTCCTGTATATTCTAGTTGCCTTTTTAGACTGTGGCTTTTTTGTGTGCCCCAGTACAGACAGATCTGCTCACAGTCCCTTAGTACTATCCCTCCCCACTGCAGTTCTCAGTGTTAGGGTTTTCCTTTATTACTGTGCCATTCTGTATGTGGTCTTTTACTGTGTGGAAGCTGTTCGGTCAGCACTCAGATCTTTTTCAGGAGAAGTTGCACCTATAAATAGGTGTAGGTTTGGTATCTGTGAAGGAGGTGAGTTCAGGGTCTTCCTATGTCAACATCTTGGACCAGAACTATTACTCCCTAATTTGGTAATCTTTAAAACACTTACAAAACCTGATAATTTAAGACTTTACTCAACTTATAACTTGTATAAAACACCATAGAGATTTCAGCCACATTAAGATAGTTGCATTGGCTGCCATGTTTTTCTCTCTCATGGACTGCTGTATAGATTAGGTGATTCACTTATGGTTGGATCTACTCAGTATGGTATTGATTTACCTCTACTTAAATCTAGTTAAATCCTGTACTACAGTCCAGGGTCTGCATGGAGTATGACCCTTATACCATCCACACAGAAGGAATATTCCTGCCCTTGGAGACTAGTTCCACATTATTAGCCATGTCAAATATAAGATTAATATGAGATTAACATGACTGACTTGGGAAGGAAGGCAGAAGAAACAGGCACCCTGAGGTAATGACAATACCATCTACTTGCACTATCCTAAGAGTTTAGGTGCATTATTTCTAATAATATTCATAACAACTCCTAACATTTACCTAGTGTTACTATGCTAGAAACCAGGGTAAGCACATCACATATATTAACTCCTTTAATCTTAATAACCACCCTAGGAGGGAGATTCTATTATTTTCTTTCTACCAGTGAAAAGAGTGAGATCAAAAGGATTTAGTAATTTATCTTGAGTCATACAGTTACTCGCAAGTTAGGATTCAAACCTGAACAGTTTGGCTCTGGAATTGATACATTTACCTACCCCACAAAGCCATACAAGGCTGTGGATAATCTTGTTTTACAGATAAGGAAACTGAGGCTTAGAGGGATTCAGAAACTTGTTCACAATCACAGAGCTGGGAAGTGATAGGACCAAAATTTGATCCCAGTCAGCTGCATTCCACAGCCTCTTCATCACCAGGTCAACTATGACTTCCACCCAGGAGGCCTTACAAGTGACTTTAGACAACCCTTGCCCACTCAGAGCCAAGGGCACGAGGGCAGCAACTGACGGTTTACAAATAGATCCTCTCTTACAACTGCTGGTTCACTCTGTTTGTTTCTTTATAGTGTAACGTAAGAGTAGGGGGTTTAGGTTTGAGTGTGAGTTTTACCAATTTAATTCAGTGGTAAGCATGGTGTTATCATGGGGAATAAAACACTTAGTACAGTATCTGATTTGGCACAGGTACATGCTTAATAAGTACTGAGTGATTATCATCTTAAGTGGTCACCAAAAAAGATTTGACCAAAACTTGTAAATAAATTATATCCTTTTCAAGGATGGGAAAGCAAATCTCACATTAAAATTTGCATAGGAAATCCTGTATCTAACAGGTTAATATGTTCTTAGGCAAAAAAAAGTGTGAGACATTTTTCAGTCCCCAGAATTTCTCAGTCAAGTAAAATAGATGAGTGTTAATTAAAAATGTAAATAAGACAAATCTATAAAAGAAAACAGAACTAGAAATATTTACCAAAGAACCAAAAGCATTGAAACTACACCTGGAATGTCTTAAGAAACTTTCACCAAAATTAATCAAATCAGGCTCTTGCAGTTTTTTTATAAAAGACTTAACTTTCATATTATAAAACAATGAAATATAACTTTTGTTAGGAAATCCCAATTTCTTCCCATTTGAATGCCCCCAAACTGCAATTTCAACACCACCATTAAAATCTTGGGCAGTAAAGGGCCTGCAATTACCTGATAAATTTGAAAGCTATGATGAGTCAATCTAAATAATTCTGGTTAAAAAACAATCTTGTTTCCTTGGGTGCTTTTGGTCTCAACTATTTGCCTTGACCACACACTTTATTATTTCTGTATGGAAAGCTTCTAGGACATTAACTTTATATCCGTGCCTTAAATCACTTGATATTTTAAAATGATGATACCTTTCTTCTTTGAGGTGGATAAGCATTCACGCTCTTCTTTGACAGAGATTTTACAACTCTTCATCCGACAAAAAAAGGATCGCCTTGAGCCAGAATACACATGAGTCCTTCCACTGTGGAAATTCCTGTGAACTTGCAAACCAGCTTTCATAGCAGGAGGAGGCAAGAGAACAGGTAGAAAAGAATATTTTCATATAGGTGGTAAGAAATGTCAGGAGACACATTTCAAAATTATTACTTTTTATAAATTGAAAAAGAAAAATGGTTATTTAAAGCAATGACATCATTATATGGTAAACCATAAAGTGAAATACACCAAAAAGAGCATTTGCCAAGCAATCATATTTTTATAATTTATAAACACTTGCAATTTATCTTCATTTTTTCCCTAGGGATGGAAACAAAGGTAATCCAAGTGAAATGAAATTTAAAAATTTTTTTAAATGAAAAAAACCTCAACTTATAGTAGTAATCAATGGCATAAAGCATCATTATATTATAAATAATTGGTACTAAGCATTTTCAGAGAAGATAAAGGATATTTACACTTCCAAAGCACAATTATACAAGGTCTTTCATATTGAGTAGACCTAACTCATATAAGAAAGAGAACCGTCTCAGCATATAGCTGAATAATGGAAACCCCAGCAATTTTTTAAATCCCAAATGATACTTTCTTGTAAAGACTTTATTAACATATGAAAAACAGTGAATATGAAGCAATCACATACTCCCCCCTGAACAAAGCATCTTCATATGAATATATTTGTTTTGTATGTGTATATGAGTATAAGAATTCTCTATTTAGTTATATTGTTTTTTGAACTCTGAGGTTAATGATTGTAAAGTTCATTAAATTTCCTCATGATAAAACCATAATTAGCTAATTTTTCAAAATATTGTATAGCTGTGCTTTTAAGTAATAATTATATTTACATAAAAGTATGGGCATGCTGAAATGAGCACTTACTTTTGGCATCGATCAGCTTCTCTCTCGGTGAAATATCAGAAGAAGAAAGTTGCTCCTTTACTTTGGCAACATCTTTTGGATGTAAGAAGTCAAATAAGCTTTGTCCAGTCAAGCTAGCCTATTTATAAGGTAGATGTTCATTTAAAATCAGTACCATAATTTTTCTACATTTCTTCACACAACCATATGGTAAATACTGTTAAAACTGCTTTTTCTTAGGCTCAAAGATACATCTACCACTCCGTGTGACATTAACTTAGTGTTAAAAGCAGGGTGATACTTGTAGATAGAAATACATGCACACAAAACCGTATATGGAAACACACAAATCACAAATACCTAATCACTAATATTCGGTGAACTCTTGTTAACACCCCCCAATTCATTTGTTGCTTCTAAGTCATATTATGATTTACTTTAAATTTTTCTTAACCTTGGTAAAAGTAAAGAGACTGCATGCAATATGGAAGCCACAAAGTATCTGTGATTTTATGGTGTGACTCAGATTTAAAAAAAAAAAAAAATCACAGTACTATTAAACAAAGTCCAACCTAGAACACCTCCCACTTCCCATTCCACTTCTCCCAGTATGTACAGCATTCCCACGTCTATGTCTTTGCTTATATGGTCTCATCACCTAGAATTCATTACCCCTTCTCTACAAACTCATAGTTCCCTCGCCATTCTAACCAATTGGCTTTTACTCCCCAACTCCCTCAACTTGGCAGGTGAGAATTCTACCACTGAACCACCAATGCCCAACTCCCTCAACTTGAAATGTCTTCCTCCCCTTCTCTGCTCATCTTAACGCCTAAGCAGACATTCTATTTTGTATATGAAGCCTTCCCCGACCCACAGTGATCACCCCACCTTGTGAAATCCTTTATTACCTAAGTAGATATTCTTATATTAGACAGAACACATGGACCAGCTGGACAAATGGCCAAGTAGCCAAGATAGCTTGGAAGTTAGATATCTCATATTTTAAATAATAGCATTTTATAAATCAATCTACTGTGTGAACTCTATGCTTCAAAGCAAATCAGGTTTCTGAATCTGAAAAGCTAAGGACCAGACCCTACATCATGGGGATTCCAAAGTCCTCCTGAGTAGTCAGTATATCTCTTGAATGGTCTGAAATGCTAGGTCAGTGCCCAGTGGGATGAGATTCCATGTCACTAATTTGGAACTTAAATGTTATTCTGAATTGTAAGTTATCTTTGTGTGTGTGTGTGTGATGTTTTCTGTTTCCTGTTAGGAAATAGAATAATCAAGTCTTGACCTGCCTTTGTGTCCCTGATGCAGCTACAACCAGCTGCATGATTCATTTGGTTCTTACTCCTTCTGTATGTAGGCTCATAATACCTCTTCTTCTGCTATTTAACTCATTATCTGTGAATCTTATATCTCCCAAATTTTCATGTTTGGGGAGAATATAGGTGAAATTATTGGGAGTTATTTAAGAGTAAAGCTGTGGTCTATCTGATGTATATTTTAAAAGTGGCCACAGGTGCTAGTTTATTCACTCTATTGGATTAGTGTTAGTGCTAGAGCTTTTGAGTAACTAGTTCAAATTAAATGGTGCTCGGGAATGAGGAGGTAAAAGGATTCTAAAAGTAGTTAAATAAAAGATGAAGTTTAGAGTTTGTTGCCAGAGTTTAGATCAAAAGCTGTTATGCAATGCATATAACCTAATAATAAATAATAATGCTGTCTTTTGGAGGAAACAGAAGGACAGCTAACATTGTTCTGACAGTCTCAAATGTGACAGTTATTTTGTCTCTACATCGTAAGGGATAGGTGTAATCATCATTTCCCCTTTTTACATAAGAGAAAGTTGCAGCTCAGGAAAATTAAATAGCTTGCTGGAGGTCAGGAAGTGAGCACCCTTATCAGAAATAAAAATCCATGGGGTGCTTGGGTGACTCAGTCATTAAGCGTCTGCCTTTGGCTCAGGTCATGATCCCAGGGTCCTGGGATCGAGCCCCACATCCGGCTCCCTGCTCAGCGGGAAGCCTGCTTCTCCCTCTCCCACTCCCCCTACTTGTGTTCCCTCTCTCGCTGTGTCTCTGTCAAATAAATAAAATCTTAAAAAAAAAAAGAAAGAAAGAAAAACCCATAGTGTTTCCATATATTTCCATCTCTCTGGGAGTTCTAACCTAGCAGAACCTAAGCACCCACAGCCCAGGGGGAGGATAGGGTTCAGGAAGAGAACTTGGAAATATGTGTTCGTTCAAAAAAAATTAAACATTGTGTGGAAAATATCTTCAGTTTTGGATACCTGATCATAATTAAGTATTTTGGAGACTGATTTAGAAACGAAGAGAATTTTTCCTCTCTCACATCCAACCACAAATAGGAAGCCTTCTGCAGTCTAGGATTTAAAAATATAAAAGTGAATATTTTTAAATATCTTCTGTCTTTCTTACACACATTCAGATACTGTGAAAATTCCTATAGCAATAAAACAAAGTGGTCAGAGAGCTAGTAAAATCAGGACATTTTCTTAAGCTATAAAGGGATTGATGAAGAACATCAAATTGAACCCCAGTCTAAACTAGTTTTTGACATGGAAAGTTTGGCTACGGAATATTTGATTGAGATATTTTCTAATACAAAAACGACCCATCCCAAATTCTATACTGCATATAGAAACTATAAAGATATCAAAACACAGCATTAACAACTGTCCGGGGATGTGCTTAGATGAAGGGAATGTGTAGAGCGGGCACAAGGAAAAGAGAAGACATTCTACAATATACTTTTTAAATAATAAGGTGTCGCTCATTTAAAATGAAACTTAAAAAATTCTAACATCAGTTACTCCCATTGAAATCTGCCCAGTATATTCCTTGTGAAGCAACTTCTAGGGAAATGGATATATATGGACACAGGATGAGTCTAGCACCCCACTGGACATTCCCTTGATTAATTTCTACTAACTGGAAACAAACATGAGGTGAGTTAGGCAGACATATTCTAGAAGGGCAGAACCCATGTTATGTTAGGACTGAAAAAACACACTTAAAGATTAGTGAGAAAGCTTCCAAAGCATACTGTACATTTTGCTAACTTTAAATATCTTCATCTTAAAAAAAAAAAATCCTTACATTCCTATCAGAAATATTATATTTAAATTCAGCTGTTCAGATAAAAGAGCTTTTTAAAAAATTTAAAAGAAAAATAGACAAGTATATGTATGAAGAATCTTTCTGTTTAAACATGCTGCAGTTTAAAGCCCAGGAGTCATAGCACAAGATCAAGACATTTTATCACCTCCTGGGGGCAGGATAAGCCAATGACATGGTCATATTTTCCAGGTCAAATAAACCTCTAGACGAGTGAATCTGAAAACCCATGCATATGAAATGATGAGAACAGAAATGTCAAAGCATCGACTAATAATAGCTCAGTAAGCAGTAACTGGCTAATGAGCGGAGAACAGGATCCAGAAGAGAAAAGGATACAAGGTAGATGGCTTTGAAGGAGGTGGTGACGGAGGGGAACAGACCCCATGGCATAGGAGGTGAGTACAGCAGGCAGTGTAAGTTTAGGATTAAAGACGAGCTTTGCTCCATACTTTGGAAAGTGCCTATCCTCTGTCTCTACTTTCATCAGCCCAAACTAAGACACAGTTACTTAGGCAACTTATTTTTGTAGGAAGGGAGCTGTGGTGTACTAGGGAACCCTGAATGTTGGCAGCCGGAAGCAAACTGAAGAAAAGCTGCCTCCCATCCAAGTAAAACTGAAAGGACAAACACGGCTTAGACAAATATAACTCTTGACTTACCTTAAGGATTAAATGTCTGAGCTCATTATCCTGAATAAATGAAGGTCTATAATTATCTCCTGCATAAGAATTTGTCATACCTAAAAATAAGTCCAAAAGTTACGGAAAATAGAGTTGGAAACGTAGGGAACTGCGCACTGTTGCTTTTGCATTGAAGACGGTACTTTCAGCACATTCTACAACTTTATCGTAATCATTCTTTCATTATTACTAGATTAAGATGTCCTGCTTTTATACTTGCTAAGTTCTTGGATCTTATTCCCTTATACTTAAATGTGTAGACAGTAGGAGCTGGATTTCAAAAAAGAACTAGATTCTTTTTAACACTATAATAACATGCAACAGTATTCAAGAATCTAGCTAGAATTGATAATTCCGCTTCTTAAAACTGCTCCGGGGCACCAGGGTGGCTCAGTTGGTTAAGTGTCCAACTCCTGATCTCAGCTCAGGTCTTGATCTCACGGTCGTGAGTTCAAGCCCTGTGTTGGGCTCCGTGCTGGGCATGGAGCCTACTTAAAAAACAAAAAACAAAACAAAAGAACTGATTATGTGAATTACCCTAAAGAGGAAGATTGTGGAACTTTAAATCACTTCTATGGATTCATACAATTTTCCCATATGGCGCTTTAAAAATCATATGGAGATTTCTGATAATATATAAAAATGTATAAAATATAAGTGAAATAGTTCATTTTAAGCCCTTAGCACAGAGTTTATTGTATTAAAATAAAAGTCTCTAACTGAACAGCCGACAAAATGAGGAACCAGCAGGTCACGACCTAGGTAAACCTTTCAATGAGAGAAATAGAGGGAAGCGCCGAATCACATTTGCCTTAAAGGCATCCGCCCACCTCAACAGGAGAAAGCCATTCGTGGCCACAAGGGGGCGCAAGGGACAGCCCACCAAGCCAAAGTGCCTTGTCCCCAGATAACCTCCAGGCAAGGGTAATTCACAGGTAAATCAATTTTCCCTCTCTTACACTTCTCAACTCTCCTAACCCCAAGCCCCTCTTCCTGAGGACAGCAAGAAAAGTTGCTTTTGCAAGAGAAAGATGGGTTAATACCCTGAGAGGTTTTTGTTGTTGTTTTCCCCACCCTGGGACATTTTAACCACACAGTGGCCCTTGGATGAATTTGCAGCTCAAACTCACAAAATACCTAAGTGCTGGAGGAGAAAAAAACCCCAGAAAATAAAAAATACCTAATGGTCTGACTTTTTCAGACCGGTAGCACCCTTATGAGCCTGGCATAAGCAAATGAAAATCCCTGTCAGCATCTACCTTAGGTAGGTCTCCAAGAATTCCCTCAAATGATTTCTTGTTATTATAAATGACTACATAGCAACCTGGTGGGAGGGAGTTGAGAAAGAGCAGAAAGATACAGACCGAGTTCCAGACCAGGGTAGAGCCATAAATCAATTTGAGCAAGGCAGTGCTATCTGCTTGTCTGGCCCGAAGGTTGGCAGAAGTATGCTGGGGAAACCCTGTCCATGTCCATCAGCCAGAACGGGCGAGCCTGGGCAGTGAGCGAGGACGTGCTAAGGAGAAATGGGGGGTGGGCGTAAGGGCAGAGCCGAAGCCAGGCTGAGGTGTGTTAATAAAACGCATGCTGTGATATTCTGTGCATGGGCCAATGAGGGGTAACAAAATTTTTAAGATTTTATTTGAGAGAGAGAGAGCACAAGTGGGGGTTGGAGCACAGGGAGAGGGAGAAGCAGGATCCCCGCGGAGCAGGGAGCCCCATGCGATGCAGGGGCTTGATCCCAGGACCCTGAGATCATGACCTGAGCAGAAGGCAGATGCTTAACCAGCTGAACCACCCAGGCGCCCTGAGAGATAACAAACAAGGAAACATGATCACTTACCTTTATTACAGCGTTCATTAGGTTAAGATGATCAAAATCACAGTAACTATTGCTCCTGCTACCCCCACCCCCACCCTGAGTAAACTCTGTGCTTGCCCTTTATAGGTGTTACTCTTTACTCTTAACAACGACCCTACGCAGTAAATGCATTATCCCTATTTTACGGCTATGGAAGTTGATCAGAATGTGAAGTGACTTGAATAAGTCACACCGCTATTAAGTCAGGGAGCCACGCTTTGAACCCAGGAGGTTTGCCTCTGGGAGCTACATGCATGGACCACTGCACCCCACTGAGCCCCAGTAATATGACTACACATATAGAATGCCCACAGTTTCTCTGAAGGCACATGCTGAGAAGAAGGGCTACTCCAAGTGCTGTCTGCAGACCAATGTCATCAGCAAACTGTGGCAGGTGAGTACAGAAATGAAGAACAAGCATTTCTAGGGGCGCCTGGGTGGCTTAGTCGGTTAAGCGTCTGCCTTCCGCTCAGGTCATGATCCCAGCGTCCTGGGATGGAGCCCTGCTTTGGGTTCCCTGCTCAGCAGGGAGCCCACTTCTCCCGCTCCCACTCCCCCTGCTTGTGCACATGCATGCGCTCTCCCTCTGTGTCAAATCAATCAATCTTTTTTAAAAAAAAATTTTAGACACTTTTATGGAAATGTGACATTGTTGTGCCAAGCCCCAGCCCATGATCATTTTTCCAGGAATTAACTGTACTTTATAATGGGTGGGGGGTGGGTAACACTTGTCCTCCACCCAGATAATTTCAAAAGCACTATTTAAAGTTTACAGTACAAAAACTCATTTCACGACCCATTTGTCTTTAAAATAATTATATAGGGACCAAAATAACATGATCCACATGCAGCCCTCTGATGATTTGGGGTCCAGGTTTTGTGGAACAAGTTGGGTGGTCTACTCCTGTAAGGGCACTGGAATGCAGGCAGACCCAGTTGCCTTAAGTCCTCTCACTTGTGGGCAGCACTAACTTAAGGGTATGCTCAGGGTGGGTGATGAGTCCTTGACCACCTCAGAAGGGCCAATGGCAAAAACCTGTGCTCTGGTGCAAGGAATCTGCTCTGGATTTAGACAGTACGTCCTCCCTACTGAGCTTCTCTTGCTGCTCCTCCCACTCTTACTTCCACTGTAGCATTTAGCACCCTGGATTTTAATGGTCTCTACCTGGGTCTGTCTCCCTCGCCTACTGTGAATCCCAAGAGCACAGAGATCTTGTTCCTTCCTTTTCAAGTTCCCAGCACAGACAGGAACCTACTTGATGCTCGGTGCATGTTTGTTGAATTAGTTGATGGATTCATGACTTTTCCCTTAGGTCCTCCTCCCTCCGGGCATTGCGAATGTGAAAATTGTTGGGTAATTTTAGGGTTGCAATCAAATGACCTCAGTGGGGCCTGCAAATGTTCACTGCTTAAAGATTTAAGGGAAATATTGCATACAACTTATGCAAGATCCAGTTGTGGGTAAAAGAGAATCCTGTTTCACAATGGATCGTTAGGAAAATAAGACCTCCTGTCACACTCCCAAAAGGAAGCCTGCCAAGCAGTGTTCCCACACTTGCGCTGTTCTGCTTGGCATTGAAGGGATCAAGTCTGTACTTTCTTTCCCCACTGCCTACTCTCCAGATCTGCACATAGTCCGCAGGTTGGAGTACAAGGAGCCACTGTTCTACCACATGTAGAAATCTAAGGAAGGTGATTTAAATTATCTCTTTCTTGTTAAGGGGACTTCTTAAGCAGAAAAGAAAAGGCCAAGACTAGAAGAAAATTATGCAAGAAAAATATTTCAAATGTAAAAACAAACAGAGTAAAGGTGGTAGATCAACCACTTATAAAGCTAGTATGACAGTTAAAAGACAAAAGTAGTAAAATAATATCTACAAAAATTAGTTAAGGGATACACAAAATAAAAAGATATAAAATGTGACAGCCTATGTATAAAATGTGGAGAGGAGGAGTACAAATGTAGTGCTTTTAGAATGTGTTCAAGGTTAAGCGACCATCAATTTGGGTACAGTCTGCTATATACTTAGGATGTTATGTGAAATTCATGGTTACTACAACCAAAAACCTATAATACATACACGAAAAATAAAGAGAAAGAAATTCAAGCATAACACTAAAGAAAGTCCTCAAATCACAACGGAAGGGACCAAAAGAAGAAGAAAGGAATGGAGAAGAACTACAAAAACAAACAGAAAACAATTTTTAAAATTCCAGTATGTACCTATCAATAATTACTCTGGAGCATTACATTTATTTACCTTTAATCAAAAAACACAGGGTGATGCAATGGATAACAAAATAAGACCCAACTACATGCTGCGTCCAAAGAACTCACTTCAGAGCTAAAGACACAGGCTAAATATGAAGGAATGGAAAAAGATATTCCATGCAAATGAAAGCAAAACAAAAGATGGGGTAGCAACACTTATATCAACAAAATAGACTTTAAAACACTGTAACAAGAGAAGAGAAAGCCATTACATAATAATAAAGGGATTGATTCAAAAGAGGTTATCACAATTGTAAATATGCATCCAACATAGGAGCACCTAAATATATAAGGCAAGCATTAACAGACATAAAGGGAGAAATGAACAGTAATATAATAGTAGGGGACTTTAACACCCTACTTATATCAATGGATAGATCACCCAAAAGAAAATAAGGAAACAGTGGCTTTGACTGACAAACTACAGCAGACGGGATTAACAGATATACACACACAAAACATCCCATCCAAAAACAAGAGAATATACATTCAAGTGCACATGAAACATTCTCCAGAATAGATCACATGTTAGGCCACAAAACAAGTCTCAATAAATTTAAGAAGACTGAAATTTAAAAAAAGATGACTGAAATCAAACATCTTTTCTGACTACAACAGTGAAACAAAATCAATTACAAAACAAACACACAAACAAACAAAAACTGGAAAAACACAAACATGTGGAGGCCAAAAAAACCATGCTACTAAATAACCAGTGGGTCAGCAAAGAAGTCATAGAGGGAAGGAAAAAATACATGAAGATGAAAGAAAATAGAGACAATGGCTCAAAATCTCTTGGATGCAGCAAAGGCAATTCTGAGAGGGAAGTTTATAGTGATACAGACCCACCTTAAGAAAGAAGAAAAATCTCAATCTAACTTTATACCTAAAGGAGCTAGAAAAGGAACAAAGATCAGAGTGGAAATAAATGAAATAGAGACATAAACAAAATTGTTAAAACTTTAGCCAGATGCATCAAGACAAAGAATCAAAATCAGAAATGCAAGAGTGGGAAGCCTCAGTGGCTCAGTCAGTTAAGCGTCTGCCTTTGGCTCAGGTCATGATCCCAGGGTCCTGGGATTGAGTCCCGCATCGAGCTCCTTGCTCAGCAGGGAGCCTGCTTCTCCCTCTCCCACTCCCCCTACTTGTGTTCCCTCTCTCGCTGTGTCTTTCTCTGTCAAATAAATAAATAAAATCTTAAAAAAAAGAAATGCAAAAGAAATTACAACCGACACTACAAAAATGCAAAGCTATTAAAAAAGACTACAAAAATTATGCAAAAAAAAATTGGACAAACTAGAAGAAATGGGTAAATTTCTAGAAACCTACCATCTCCCAAAACTGAATCGGGAAGAATCTGAACAAACCAATTACCAGCAATGAAATTGCATCAGTAATCAAAAAACTCCCAATAAACAAAAGTCCAGGACCAGATGGCTTCACAGGTGAATTCTACCAAACATTTAAAGAAGAGTTAATACTACCCTTCTCAAATCATTCCAAAAGAAGAGAAAGGAAAACTTCCAAATTCATTCTATGATGCCAGTATTACCCTAATATGAAAAACAAAGACACTAACAAAACAAGAAAATTACAGACCAATATCCCTGATGAACACAAGTCCTCAACAAAATATTTCCAAACCAAATTTAACAATACATTAAATACATCATTCTCCATGATCAAGTGGGATTTGTTCCAGAGATGCAAGGATGGTTCAGTATCTGCAAATCAATCAACATAACACATAAAGTGAAAGATAAAAATCATATGATCACCTCAACAGATGCAGAAAAAGCATTTGACAAATTCAACATTCAGAAAAACTCAACAAAGTGGGTACAGAGGGAACATAACATAATAAATGTTATAAATGACAAACCCAGAGTTAACTTCATCCTTAGAGGTGAAAAGCTGAAAGTTTTTCCTCTAAGATCAGGAAGAAGACAAGAATGTCCACTCTCACCACTTTTATTCAATATAGTACTGGAAGTCCGAGCCATGGCAATCAGATAAGAAAAAGAAATAAGAGGCGTCCAAATTGGTAAGGAAGGAGTAGAACTCTCACTATATGCAGGTGACAAGATATTCCATATAGAAAATTCTAAAGACTCCACCAGAAAACTATTAGAACTAAGAAATGAATTCAGTAAAGTTGCAGAATACAAAATCAACATACAGAAATCCAGTGCATTTCTATACACTATTAACAAACTGGCAGAAAGAGAAATTAAGAGAACAATCACATTATCAAAAAGAATAAAACACCTAGGAATAAATTTTACCAAGGCAGTGGAAGGACTGTACTCTGAAAACTCTAAGACATTGATGAAAGACACTGAAGATGACACAAATGTAAAGACATACTGTGTGCACTTAAGATAAAGCTTTTAGTGAAACCAAGGTTTTCCATACCCCGATTAATATTCTCTCCACATACAGAATATGAGCAAGCATCAAAATTGATGCCTATAAACAAACTGATGCCTATAAAGCTGAAAGACACATTTGTATAGAATTTCAGTAGCCAACAACAGCAAAACAAATGAATCCAGGATCTCAATTACAGGGAGGACTTCACAAATCCAAGTGCGAGGTGCCTGGCTGGCTAAGTCGGTTACGCATCTGCCTTCGGCTCAGGTCATGATCCCAGGGTCCTGGGATCGAGTCCCACATTGGGCTCCCTGCTCCGCGGGAAGCCTGCTTCTCCCTCTCCTCCATGCTCATGTTCTCTGTTGCTATTTTGCTATCTCTGTCTCTCTCAAATAAATAAAATCTTTAAAAACAAAACAAAACAAATGCAGAAGCCATTTCCAAACTCACCTTTTAAAGATTTCAGGTGTTGGACAGCCATTCTTAACACTGTAAGTTTATCCAGTTTACGTGCCATGGGATTGCACTGAGGGATCATTGCAGATAGTTCTTCAATCAGGTTATTCATTTTATCTCTCCTCCGCTTTTCGGTTTGGCTATGAGCTTCTCTAAGAAGGAAAAGAACCTCCTTTATTTTTAACATCGAGCAGACTCAGAGTTAACCTGGAGGCACTGGCTGGAGCCAGAGGAGGCCCACAAGAGCACACCCACCTCCCTCCCAACTCTGGCCCTGCACTTGTGGTTCAGGGAAGAGGAGGGAGCTGCTGAGCGCAGGAATGGGGCTCATCTCTCATCCCACCCCCACCAACTACCCCTGCTTCTTCCTCCCTGTCTTATTTCCAGAAACCTTCAAGAACTAAGATGTGTCTGAGAGCTACATGGGTAGCTTTAGAACCTCCCTCAGTCTTAGAAGGCTACCCAACTCTTCCTCTTATTACAGATCACTGTTCTCCGGTATTCGCCTCAGCATCTTAACTTCATTCTCTTCCACAGCAGCTTCCCACGGGACTGCACATGTGTGCAAATCTCTCCCTCTGGGGAAAAAAAACCCCACCTTTCCCCACTCCTAGGGGTTTTTACCTTGCTACTGTCTTCTGTTCTCAGCCAGCTTCCTGGAAGATCACCATCTCCACTCTTCTCACTTCTCAAGCAGGCACCTTTCCATCTATTAAAATCAACCTTCCACAAACCCTGCCCCACTGACACTCTTTTTAGCAGAGGTCATCCTTATTTTATGCAACTTCTTGCTGATCCCTGCCTTGAATTTGATGGTACTGACATTCCTCATTCTTCCGCTGGCTCCTGTGACCATCTCCTGTTCCTCCGTCCTCCCTGCTCTGCTCAGTCCCCTTAGTATCTTTATCAGCTCTTCCTCCGTCCTTAAATAGCAGTGTCCCCAAGATTCCCCACTTGGCTCTACTCTTTCCTCACCCTATAGCTTCACCCTGAGATAGCACCATCTCTCAAAGGCTTTACAGCTGTTCATAAGCTACTTACTATTAAATCTCTATCTCGTTCATACTTCACCCCATTCCTGACCTTCAGAACTTGAACTACACACCTAAATGATTCACAAGTACTTTAAACCTCAAGTAAGCCCACACTGAATTGCAATTTACCCCATTTTATTCCTCCTTCCTCCATTACCCCTGATTTACTCCTGTAGAGTTTATCTTGGTGATATCTTGCTGATATCACTAGGCTCATTCTAGACCCTTCCTTCTTCACCCTGAAGAGCCAAATAATCACAAACTCCTATAGGTTCTAGTTCTTAAATGGTTCTTATATAGGTCTTGTCTTCCTCCCCACTCTGTCACCACCTTGATTCCTTAGGTGACAGCTCATTGCACTACCCCCAAAAGCCTTTTAACTTGCTATACTCCCAGCATCTTCCTCTTCCAGTCTATATAAACCCCGACTTCCAGAATTATCACTCTAAAACAAACAAAGTCATCTAATTCCATTGCATCAAACTGCTAACATGTATTTTCACTGCCTAAGAGGAAGGGCCAAACTCCCACATGACACCCCAAGGTTCTCCATGACCTGGTTTGTGCCCTCATTTCCAGTTTCCTCTCTCCGTGCATTCCCTACAGCTCCACGTTACTCCGCAGCAATGCCAAACGACTTGCTGGTCCTCACACATGCCAAGTCACCTCACATCTCCTCTGACTTGCTCTTTGCTAAGCTTAGAATGTCCTTCCCTTCTATATTGGAAAAATCCTCCTCCTTCTTCAAAACCCAGCTCAGTTATTCTTCCTGGAAACCATCTGTGACTACTACCTGATGAATCCCCTTCCTCTCTCAGTTGCCTCAGTATCTTTTACACTGTGACCATGTCACCAGACCTAAGTCACCATCTGTTGAAAATTCAGTATTGTTTAATACGTCACAAGGAAAGAAAAACGTTGCCAATTAACAGGAAGAGGCCATTGATAAGACCTTTTTCATAGATGGTAAAATGTAGGGGGAAAATGTATATCTTATATTTGTACCTTACATTTGAGTTAGGCTCTTTTACTCTTCACACTTAACTGTAAACATCTGTCTGTTTCCCCTACAACACTCAGATCATGGCACCTCCAGAATTTCCACAGAAGAAGAGTTTAAAAAAGACAGTCTGATGGGAAAGGAGGACATTTGCTCTGACCTGTCTTTATGGCAACTTTAAATTAGATGAAAGAAAATGTAATTTTTCCACATAAAAGAGTGGGGGAGGGGAGAACACTAATGAAAACCAATGGAGATAATATTCCCCGTCCCCCGCGTCCCCACAACCATTCACCCTTGGGTCATGTCACTCCTGGAACAAAATATGTACTTTTGATGAACTGGATGGAATTTAAATTATATGTACATTCACATAAAATTTACTTATATACTCATGCTTTGGTCCATTCAGGAGTAATTTTTAGATTAAAATTTTATGATTAGAAGAATGTTATAGTTATCATCTTGCTAGAGTTATCACCTCTTGTTTCTACCAGTATTACGCACTAGCAACAGACACGAGCAATGGGCAGAGATGCCTGTTTCCAGGAATGCATAGCAGATGGGGTGTTCTGTCTCAGAGGTAGGGTGTTAGAGACAGGTGAGTACAGGTGGGAGCAAGGCCCTGTGGAGAACAATGAATGATGATGGTAGGAGCTAGGAAACCCAGAGGAAGGCAAAATAGCTAGATTTTGAATAAGGCACTTTACTTGAAGGAGATGCACCTGAAAAGAATTCCGGAAGACTGTATTTGAGAAAGCCCTATTTACCAGAGGCTGGTTCCATGCTTGATAATTTAGCAGCAGGGCCTGGCTCTTAATTCTGCGTACTGTTACTGCCACTTTGACCCCTGTCAGTGTTTTGTAAATCATATCAAAAACCAGAATAAATGAAGAAAAAGCAAAACTGAGATGTGGCCATGTTGCCAGATGTAGAAAAATTTTTTTTGACGTTGAGACTATGTTGAAACAATTGACAAAGAATTTATGAGGATGAATTCCTAACAATCAGATGCTCCTCGGAAGTAATTTTGATTTGTTTATGGCATGAATCAGCTTTGCTCTAGTGCTTAAAGGAAATATTTTAATAAACAGTCCCTCTAAGAAAAATTTAAAGGCACATTAAGACAAAATGTTATTCAAGTAGATAGAAAAGGTAACAGGTACCGAATGAGAAAAACCTAATATTCATGAATCAATTCTATCTTGACGTCACCTTTTACTTTGGCTAAAGGTTTGCAGGTGCAACCTTTTCCACCCACCATCTATCAATCTCAGTGGTTCAATGTACCTGAAGGACTTCACTTTTACTTGTTGTTCACCATCTTCCATTCTACAAAAAAGCAGGATAAAATGTCAAACTACAGGAAACAGCTTTTATGTAATTCTTGAAAGAAAATAAATGTGAGATTATCATCCTCTTAATTCCTATTAAGTCGTTCGTTAGAAATACTACCCTGAGCTCCTAATGACCGGAAGTGATTATTATTGTCAACACAAGTGGTAGTTCTCCTAAGGCTGACAGGCACATCATCCCCAACAAGTCAACAAAAACTGTTAACTGACAATGAACAAAAATTATCTCATGCGAATCCTGAGAAATATAATTTTCATATAAATTATATTAAATAGAATAATTTTTAGACATTTGATGGCTTAACCAAAAATTTTGTATTGGCTGTTTTAAAATAGCCTAAAAATGAATGAACAATCTCAGACCTTTAATCAAAAGGAACTTATTTTGTTAAAATTTATTTTTTAATTAAAAAATATCATTGAAAACTGGAAACTCTGATCACTTGCCAATAATATTAATATTCACAGTAGTATATTCCCTAGCAGAATATGCCAAATGTATATATATGTGTGTGTGACTATATGTATATATACACACGTGTGCGTGTATGTATATTTAAGAAACGTAGTTACCACCAGACCACTACTAAAATGAAATATACTGATGGTGACAGAATACATTCCACATTAAAAAATTATGCAGGCTGAGTAGTTTTTAAAAATACATATTTTTAAAAATATATTTCCAAATGTATCAAAACAAATAAAAATAGACTCTTAAACACAGAGACCAAACTGGTGGTTGCCAGAGTCCCCTCTGGTAGATGAGGGGATGGGCAAAATAGGTGAAGGGAATTAGGAGGTACAAAATTCCAGTTATAAATAAGTCACAGGGATGAAAAGTACAGCAAAGGGAATATAGTGAATAATATCCTAAAACATCATGTGGTGACAGATGGTAAGTACATTTATCATAGTGAGCATTGAGTCCTGTGTGGAATTGTGAAATCACTATATGTTGTACACACAAATCTAATATAACACTGTCAACTGAACTACAAGAAAAAAAAACTCAAAAGAAATGGTGAAATTCAAACCTACTGTACTTATGAAATCCAAATACACTATTATTTAATGGTCCCTGGTAGAACAGAAAAAAGGCACGATCATGTATTAGCCAAACAATTCTTCTCTTGTTTGCAGCACAAACCTAGGTAATTGCAAATACTATCAAAACATTCTCCAGATTTGCTCCTTTTCATGCCTTCCTCTTTTTAAAATCTTCCTTTGGTTTCTGAGATATTACTCCTGCTTCAGAGCCATGTCTTCTCACATTTGGGGTAGGATTTCCCTCCTCCCTTTACAGTGTTTAGGCCCGAGTCCCCCCAGAGTATATCCTCAGCCCCCAAGTCTTCCCACTCCATACACTTCCCCCAGTGACTGAATTCATGCCAATCACTGCAATGGCTTTCTGAACATTAGTGATGTGTGAATCTCTATCTCCAGACCAGGCATCACCCCTAAGTTCCAGACCCTCATATCCAACTGCCCAGTTGAAGATCCCAGACTTACCATGTTCTTATTGCGTCAAAAACTGAATTCACCATCTATCCCTTGATCTGAGCATATATCATCCTCCACATAGGTAACCAAGTCAGAAAATTTGAACACTTCTTGTGTGCCTGCTCTCCTTAACATGAATTCTCTTTTAAGCATGTCATAACATGTCCTTCCCTTCCCATGCACTGCTGTCCAGGACCACTCTCTTAGACCAATGGTCAGAAAACAATCCCTAGCAAGAACTTCTCAGCTCTTTTCTCTGCCTCTTGGGTTTTCCCCCTTCAGCTCATCCTCCATGCTGTTTCCCAAGTGATTCTTTGAAAATGTAAGTCTGTACCACTTCACACCTGGTAGGATAACTATATTCTTTTAAAAAATGGACAATAACAAATGTCAGCAAGGATATGGAGAAACTGGATCCCTCACACATTGCTGGTGGGAACGTAAAATGGTACAGCCACTGTCGAAAACAGTTTTTGTGGTTCCGTAAAAACTGAACATAGGATTACCATATGACCCAGCAATTCTCCCAGGTATATACCAAAAAGAATTAAAGCAAGGACTCAAACAGATACTTGTACATCAATGTTCATAATAGCATTATTCACAGTAGCCAAAAGATAGGAACAACCTAAATGCCCACCAACAGATGAATGGACAGACAAAATGTGATATAGGGCAACCCCTGTGCAGAGTACCCCAGGACCCCTCCTTGGCCAGGCATATACCCTGCCTCAGCTCCAGTCAACACCCCTCCAAGGCATTCTCTCTACGGAGTCCTAGAACATACCTGTTTGCACCCACTTCAGCTATCCTACCAGGGCACCCCCTGTACAAAGAACTCAAGGGTCTCCTGGTCCACACACTGCTTCAGCTCCAGCCACTCCACCAGATCACCCCCTGAAAATAGTGCCCACAAATCCCAGCTTACCTTCACTTCAGCCATCCTGCCAGAGTGCCCTCAGCACATAGAACCTGAAACACTCTGACCTGCAACAGCTTTGGCTTTAGCTGTTGGGACACGGCGCCCACTGCATGGAGAGCCCTGGGATCTCCTGGGATACACCCACTTCAGCTTCACCTGTCCTGCTAGGGTGCCCTCTGTGTGGAGAGCTCCAGGATACTCCGAATAATACCCATGTCAGCTTCAGCTATATACTGTCAAGCTTCCCTCTGGGTGTAGAGCCTTGGGACACCTGGCATGCACCCACTCTAACTTTAGCTATCCTGCCAGGGTACCTGCTGCAGGGAGAGCCCAGGGACCACAATGACCTGTACCCACTTCAGCTATCCTGCCAGGGTGCCCCACTGTGTGGAGTCCTGGGACACCCAGCCCATGCCAGCCACATCTCCAGCCAGTGAAAGTCACCAAACACACAAGGTCTACATAGGGGATGACCATACACAAGATCATTCCTTCAAATTTAGAAGTAGTTATTCTGCTTAATTCATAGAAACAGACACAGGAAGCCAGGCAAAATGGGGAGACAAAGAAATACGCTCCAAAAGAAAGAAAAAGATAAAACCTCAGAAAAAAGAGCTAAATGAAATGGAGATAAACAATATGCCTGATAAAGAATTTAAAGTAATGATCATAAAGATGCGGGCGCCTGGGTGGCTCAGTCGTTAAGCGTCTGCCTTCGGCTCAGGTCATGATCCCAGGGTCCTGGGATCGAGTCCCGCATCGGGCTCCCTGCTCCGCGGGAAGCCTGCTTCTCCCTCTCCCGCTCCCCCTGCTTGTGTTCCTGCTCTCTATATCTCTCGCTGTCAAATAAATAAAATCTTTAAAAAATAAAAATAAAAAAAAAAACTTTAAAAAATGATCATAAAGATGCTCACTGGGCTGGAGAGAAGAGTGAATGAACTCAGTGAGACCTTCAATAAAGAGATTAAAAAAAATAGAAAAAAGAACCAATTAGAGTTGAATATAGTGACTGAAATAAATACATTAGAGAGAATCAACAGTAGATTAGAGGATGCAGAATATATCAGCGATCTGGAAGACAGGCTAATGAAAAGCACACAAGCTGAATGACAAAAAGAAAAAATAATAATTAACAAATGAAGGTTGATTAAGGGGTCTCTTAGACAGCATCAAGTGAAAAAACATTCTCATTATAGGGGACCTAGAAGAAGCAGCAAGAGAGAAAGGGAAAAAACTTATTTGAAGAGGTAATAGCTAAAAACTTCCCTAACATAGGGAAGGAAATAGATATATAGGTTCAAGAAGCACAGAGTTCTAAGCAAGATGAACCCAAGGAGATCCAAACCAAGACACATAAAATGTCAAAGGTTAAAGATAAAGAGAGACTTTGGGGGCACCTGCCTGGCTCAGTCAGTACAGCATACTACTCTTGATCTCAGGGTCATGAGTTCAAGCCCCACACTGGACATAGAGCCTACTTTAAAAATAAATATATAAAGAGAGACTTTTAAAGGCAGCAAGAGAGAAGGAAAAAGTTACCTACAAGAAAAACCCTACATATAATGTATTATTTGTTTCAGAGGTACAGGTCTGTGATTCAACAGTCTTACACAATTCACAGCACTCAAAATTATCCTTCTGAATAAATTTTTTTTTTTAAAGATTTTATTGATTTATTTGACAGAGAGAGACACAGCGAGAGAGGGAACATAAGCAGGGGGAGTGGGAGAGGGAGAAGGAGAAGCAGGATTCCCGCCAAACAGGGAGCCCGATGCGGGGCTCAATCCCAGGACTCTGGGATCATGACCTGAGCCGAAGGCAGACGCTTAACCGACTGAGCCACCCAGGCGCCCCCTTCTGAATAAAATTTTATCTGGGGAGAAAAAAAAAAGAAAGAAAAGAAAAACCCTACAAGGCTATCAGCTGAATTTTCAGCAGAAACTTTGCAGGCCAAAAGAAAATGGCATGATATATTCAAAGTAGTGATGGAAAAAACCTACAACCAAGAATACTCTACCTGGCAAGGGTATCATTCAGAGCTGAAGTTCCCCCCAAAATGATTTTATTACCACTAAACTAGCCTTACAAGAAATGTTAAAGGAACTTAAGTGGAAAAGAAATGGCCATAATTAGATGTTAGAAAATTGTGAATAAAGATATAAAATATGACAGCATATACATAAAACATGAAGGAAAGGGTGAAATCAGGTTTTTTTTAAAGAATGTGTTTGAACTTAAATGACCATCAACTAAAAAGAGTGCTATATACTTAGGATGTTATATATGAACCTCATAGTACCACAAACCTAAAACCTATAATAGACACAAAAAAGGGAAAAAGAAAGCCAAACATGATACTACAGAAATGCATCAATCACAAAGAAAGAGAGCAAGAGAAGAACTACCAAAACAGCCAGGAAAAAAAAAAAAAAGAAAGAAATGGCAATAAGTACATACCTACAAATAATTGCTTTAAATGCAAATGCCCTAAATGCTATAATCAA